CCAACCCCAGATCAGCTCTAGACAGCGACCTTAATTTTGCCACATACCCTCCTTTTTCAGAGACAACAGGGAAGGTCTTGACCAAGGTCACCCAGCGAAGCAAGGGTGTTTCTGGAGCCAAAACCCAGGGCTGCCAGTTTGGCTTTGGTTTTCTCAGGCTGGACAGGAGGATAGAAACCCAGCGGGTTTCATATAGAGACACTGGGATTGAGGGTGAAGTTTTTAAACTGAATAACAATAATAATAGTAAAGCCTCTTTATTGAGGGTTTACTCTGTGCCAGGCACTGAGTATTTAATGTGGGATTAACTCAGTCCTCACAACTCTGAGTGATGTACCAGTCTTTTTTTTTTTTTGGCCACACCGCGCAACTTGTGGGATCTTAGTTCCCCGACTAGGGATTGAACCTGGGCCCCGGCAGTGAGAGCACCTAGTCCTAACCACTGGACTGCCAGGGAATTCCCCCAATTTTCTATTTTTTTAATTATTAATTAATTAATTGATTAATTTTGGCTGATCTGGGTCTTAGTTGTGGCATGCGGGATCTAGTTCCCTGACAAGGGATCAAACCTGGGCCCCCTGCATTGGGAGTGCGGAGTCTTACCCACTGGACCCCCAGGGAAGTCCCCCAATATTCTGTTTTTTACAGATAAGGAAACTTAGGCCCAGAAATTTAAAGGAACTTGCCAGAGCCTCACAGCCTAATAAAGGGCAGAGCAGTCAGGGCTCAAAGCAGGCAACCTGGTTCCAGAGCTTGTGCTCCTAACCACTGCCCTACACTGCCTTTCCAGGCCTAGGAAGGCTGTGGAGGTACAAGAAATGAAAGCAAACAGGGCCAGGCCTTACAAACAAGAAAGCTGGGAAGGAAGGAGCCCACCCCCTCCCCCGGAGTAAGGAGGGGTCGGGGCAGGTGTGGGGCTCGTGGGTACATTTCAGCATCAAGCCTCCCCCTTCTGAGCCTGGCACACACAGCGAACCCTTTATGAAGGGTCATTCTCCTTAATGGTGTTGCCATTGGCACTTGCTTCCCCACTCCCTCCAGCCTCTGCAGACAGACCCTGGCAGTGTGCCCACTGCCCGCTTCTCCCGGCCCATATCTGATGAGCTGGATCCTTCACATGGGGGTGATTTGCAAGGCCCAGGTGACAGGAGGTGGGTGGCGGGCCTGGAGCATGCCCCTCGTGACCCCAGATCCACAGGTCTCCAGGAACTGGGGAGCAGCTAGTGCATCAGCCCTGGGGCCCTGAGCCCAGCACTGGGGCTGGAGGAGGAGATGGCCCTGGGGCTTGCCGACTGCACCGCAGCACCCAGCCAGAGCCCAACTCTTCTGGGAAGCCTCTCTTAATTCCTTCTTGGTTGGTGCACTGTGTTCTCAGAAAGGGCCCAGGCATGACCTGGGAGGGCCTTCATCCCTTCACCCCACCCCTCTCCTTGTCCCCAGAGCAGGGCATGAGGAAACCTCTGCTTGGGACTTCCGTGGTGGCGCAGTGGTTAAGAATCTGCCTGCCAATGCAGGGGACACGTGTTCGAGCCCTGGTCCGGAAAGATCCCACATGCTGCGGAGCAACTAAGCCCATGCACCACAACTACTGAGCCCGCGTGCTGCAACTACTGAAGCCCGCGTGCCTAGAGCCCATGCTCGGCCACAAGAGAAGCCACTGTGATGAGAAGCCCATGCACCACGATGAAGAGTAGCCCCTACTCTCTGCAACTAGAGAAAGCCTGTGCGCAGCAACGAAGACCCAACACAGCCAAAAATAAATAAAATAAATAAATATATTTTAAAAAATAGAATAATTTTCAGTAAGAAACCTCTGCTTGGGAATTGGGAGTGTGGTGCCAACAGGAAGGGAGCCTTTTTTCATTCATGTAAACTTTTTTGTCATAGTGAAATTTACATAAAACTTACCATTTTAACCATTTGTGATGATTACTATTTGGGAGGTGTTTGCCATCTACCAGGAGCTCTCATTTAATTGTTAAAATAATCCTATTAACTGATACCATATCCCTACTTTACAAATAAGAGAGTTGAGGCACAGAGAGGTTCAGTGACTTTCCCAAGGACACGTAGCTCGTGAGTGGCAGAACTGGGATTCAAATCCAGGCAGCCTGGGCTCCAAGCCTGCCCCCTCTACCAGTACTTCCTGCCGCTTCTCAACCCTAAGTGGGTGGGTCTTATTATCCCCATTATACAGATATGGACACTGAGGCTCAGAGAGGCTAAGTGACTTACCCAGGGTCCCAGAGCTTGATGGGAGGAGAGCTTCTGAGCCATGACTATCCTGTCACTTAGCCCACCTCTTCCTCCCCCCCACCCTAGGTGGCGATGGTGGAGGTGCAGCTGGACGCTGACCACGACTACCCGCCGGGGCTGCTCATCGCCTTCAGTGCCTGCACCACGGTGCTGGTGGCCGTGCACCTGTTTGCGCTCATGATCAGCACCTGCATCCTGCCCAATATCGAGGCGGTGAGCAACGTGCACAACCTCAACTCGGTCAAAGAGTCGCCCCACGAGCGCATGCACCGCCACATCGAGCTGGCCTGGGCCTTCTCCACTGTCATCGGCACGCTGCTCTTCCTGGCTGAGGTCGTGCTGCTCTGCTGGGTCAAGTTCTTGCCTCTCAAGAAACAGCCGGGTCAGGTGCGGCCCACCAGCAAGCCCCCGGCCAGCGGCGCGGCCGCCAACGTCAGCGGCAGCGCCGGCGGCATCACCCCAGGACAGGCCGCCGCCATCGCCTCCACCACCATTATGGTCCCCTTCGGCCTGATCTTCATCGTCTTTGCTGTCCACTTCTACCGCTCACTGGTCAGCCATAAGACGGACCGACAGTTCCAGGAGCTCAATGAGCTGGCCGAGTTTGCCCGCCTGCAGGACCAGCTGGACCACAGAGGGGACCACCCCCTGACCCCCGGCAGCCACTATGCCTAAGCCCTCCTGGGCTGGGCACTTCGGAGCTTTGGCCTTACGCCCTTCCCCACGACCTTGTCCCGGCCCAGCCTCAAGGACAGCCTGTATAGGGGGCTGGGCTTTTGTCAGGGGGCAGAGAGTGGAGGGAAGAGGCTTTTTTTAAAGAGAAATTACTGCACTTTGAAACTTTCCTCTAAGAGAATAAGCACTTCCTGTTCTTCCAGCTCCAGGTTCACCTCCTGTTCTGAAGCCACCGGTGGGAGCCAGAGAGGGGACAAACGCTCCCTTTGTCCCTCCTCCTCCCCTGTGCCAGTGCCACCTGGGTGCCTCCTGTCCTTTCCGTCTTGACCCCCCTCCCCGTTCAGTGTCGATTGTGTGCGTGTGTGTGCGTGTGCGAACACAGAAATATACTCATAAGGGACACCTCCTCTTGTGTCTGTATTTGTTGGGTCTGGACTGCCTGGTATTTCTCCTGGTGCCCCAATAGGTGAGCCTCTAAACAAAAAAATTTTTTTCAACATTTTGGGAAATTTCAAACCTACCCCCAAAAGTTCCATGAAGAGTAACTGAAATATATATACAGTCAATTCTTATTCGCAGTGGTTCTGTTCTGTAGTCACAGAACACTGAATTAGTATTTCTCCTAAGAGAAGTATGGGGTTATGTTCCTGCGAGCCTCTGGTCACAACATTTTTGTCAACCAATCAATACACAGCCTTGTTTTTTGTGTGTTTCTTTTTAAAGACGCCTTAATGTATGTTATATATAACATTGAACTTACACGCTATTGCTATCACAACAGCACTATCACTCACTTGTGACTGAAACTTACATAACACACATTTTCTCCGTAAGGCACATCACAGCCTTCCTGTGCTCTGAACACTAGACAGCACTTCATTGTTACCCTTGGGGACCATTTTAAGTAGTGAAATCACCAACAAAAAGCACCAAAATGTGAAAAACGTAGCACTAAATAGAGTGTGAAAAGGATACTTGTTTACAGCATGAGCTGAAAGAAGGCAGAGGGTCACCTTGTTTGACCTCAGCAAGTAGGCAAATTTGCAAATACTGAAAGTGTGAGTAATGAGAATGACAGTATGTTTTCTCCCTGAGCCATATGCATTAGTTACAGATTTCTTCCTTAAACCAAGGACATTCCTCTACAGAACCACAATTCGATGATCAAATTCAGGAAATTTGACATTGATGCGATACTATTATCTAATACAACAACATTCGTTTTCAGTTTCCCTCTTTGTCCCAATCATGTCCTTTCTTGTAGTGATTTTTCCATCCAGGATCATGCACTGCATTGGGTTGTCATGTCTCTTTAGTCACCTTTTATTTGGGACAGCCTTTCTTTGTCCTTTGTAATATCAACATTTTTGAAGAGTCTGAGCCAGTGTTTTGGGGTTTTTTTAACATCTTTATTGGAGTATAATTGCTTTACAATGGTGTGTTACTTTCTGTTTTATAACAAAGTGAATCATTTATACATATACATATGTTCCCATATCTCTTCCCTCTTGCATCTCCCTCCCTCCCACCCCTCTGGGCGGTCACAAAGCACTGAGCTGATCTCCCTGTGCTATGCGTGAGCCAGTGGTTTTGTAGAATGCTGCCTCTGTCTTGTTTCTCTGATATTTCCTCATCTGTATGATCAGGTTATGCATTTTGGGAGGAATTTTTTCTCCATTTTGCAGATGACAAAAATTGATGTCCAAAGAGGATGTTTTCGAGCCTGGAAATCTGGCTCAGAGCCTAGACACTCAAAAAATCTTACGTAGACTGATTCTGGCTTTGCTTAAGAAATCGGAAGATCCAGCAGCAGCATTACTGGGCCCGCCTTCTTGCAGAGCAACAATGAATAGGAGCTGAGTTGCAGCTACCTCTTACCCAGGAGATGTATTTGCCACAGTCCCCACCACTCCCTATTGTATGACACCAGCCCAGCTTCATATGTTACTCACCTGGCCCCAGAGGGCATTTGTGTTTGACAGCTCATTGTGTCCCATAAACCTGATACAGAAAGTGGTTTTATAAAAACACAAGTGCTCTGGCTGAAGTGAGAGTTGGTTGTGGGAAAGTGTGGCCTTAAGCTTTTGTCCTTCTGTGCAGACTTGGACATGGCCACAGCAGCTTGGTGGGCTGAGTGGAGGAGGGGGACCCCTTTATCCTACTGCAGCTTGCCTCTGTCCTGCATGATATACACCAGGACCCACCCCTCCCCTGTCCCCAGAAGGCCCTCTGACTGGGACCGAGTAGGGTGGGGCAGGTGCCCCTGTGTGAAAATCTCCACTGCTCGCCAGAGAAAACCTAGGCCTCTTTCATCCTTCCCCTAAGATACCCACCTCCCTGCTTCTGCAGAGACCTGGGTAGATAATACATTCATAGGTTCCAAACACAGCAGTGAAAAATTGCTGTCCCTCCCCTGTTCCCAGGTTCCCAATTCTCCCCAGAGACAACCATTGTTGCCAGTTTATTTTGTTCCCATCTAGACATTTTGTACATAAACAAGTACACATCCTACCTTTTCTGAAAAAATGGTAGTTTTCTATACGCACCGCCACTGTTCTCACCTTAAGAGCGGACAGGCCTAAGTTTAAGCACAGTCACTTTCTAGTTTGGTGACTTGTGAGCCTCCCTGAACCTCAGTTTCCTCCTCTAAAATGACACGAATAATAGCAGGACACCTCATAGGTTGTTGAAGGGTCATGGGAGAGCACCCGTGTAAAGCTGTCAGTGCTGGGCCTAGCACTGAGTGGCTCTGTGGTTGGTTATGTGTCCAGAGGCAGCCAGGCTCAGCTTCCCGGCTTCAGAGGTACCGACTGAGAACGATGCCATGGGTCGGGCCACCTGCTTGGCATTTAGATGGCAGAGAGAACTTCAGTATCAGTGAACGCTTTACTATATGCCGGGTACTTGCTGAGGGCTTTATGAACATTGTGGTATTTCAGGGTTATTTCATGGTATTACACCGTTGAAGTTGGGTTGAATAATTCTTCTGTAGAGTGTTTACATCATAACATGTTTAGCAGGATCACAACCTCTACCCACTGGGTGCCAGTAGAATTCTTCCCTGCCAGCTGTGACAACCAAAAATGTCTCCAGACTTTGCCAGATGTTCCCGGGGAAGGAAGGGGGACAAAACCACCCTCCCTCGGGTTAGAACCACACCTTATTTCATTCTCCAGTAACCACAATAACCCCTGGTGGTAAGTACTGTTATTGTCCCATATTAGAGGAAAGGAAACTTGAAGAACAGAGAGGTTGGGTGACATACACAAGAACACACAGCTAGTAAGTCAGTGCTGGGATTCACACTCAAGGAGTCACTGCAGAACTCCTGTTCCTACCCATTATGTAAGAGTTCCTCTTATCTTGCAGGAATGTTGTCTAGAATTATACAAAGCCCTTCCCAGAAATCTGCTTTACAACTAATCTTAGTACATGTTATTTGTTATTTTTACGTCTGCTAGAAAATCCTCAAAACACCTCTGTGAGATATCTGAAGTCCCATTTTACAGATGGGGCAACTGAGGTCACTTACTTAGGATCACAAAGCCAGTAAGTCAGAGGTTCTCTGCCCCAGCTGCAGAGAGTCAGCTGGGGAGCTTTTTGAAGGCCCAGGCCTCACCCCAGACAGATGAGAATCTCTGGGCATGGGATCCAGACATTCCTAGCTTTTAAATCTCCCACAGGATTCCAAGGTTGGGAGCCCCTGTGTTAGGCTGAGAAGCCAGGTCACATTTTAATGCCAAATCTTAGTGACCAATGTAACCAGATGCAGGCTCTACCTTCTTGGAATATCTCAGAGATCAGAGACCTGGAGGCACCTACCCCTTTCTGCCCCAAGGTAAATTCATGCAACCCATGGGGACCCCTCTTCTCTACCTGAAACCCCTCCTGAGGCTCCCTCGCACCCCGGCCACCCACCACAGGCCCCGGGCTCATGCTGCCAGGCTCTCCTTTATTCTGGGGTGCTCAGGGATGGGGTCCAAGAATAAAGGCGTCCCCAAGGCCAGCTGGGGAGAGGACCACTGGCCTCCTACTGGTCAGGAATGATCCAGTGCTGGGAGGAGCAAGGTGCCTTCGGAGGGTGCCGAGCGTGTGCCCAAGTCCCCCTTTGCTCTACCAGTGGGAGCTGCACCGGTCCAAGCAGTTGGGTGACTCCAGTTTGAATTCCTCCTGAAGCGCTGGTGTTCTTTCTGCAGGGGCAAGCTGGGTGGGGTGGGCGGGGCTGGTGTCTCCAAGATGCTGTATTAATGCTCTCCCCTCGACCCCACTTATTACCAACACCAGGAGAGGTAGCACTGAACAAGGGCCCACAAGACAGATAGGCAAGTGGAGGCCCAGGGCCCTCCAGGGCGAGCAGACCACCTGACTCCAATCCGATTAAGCCCAGGGTGCAAATGGGAGGATTTGGCAGGACTTCTGCAGAGAAAAGAGTTTTGAAGGGGAGGAAGCAAAAACGACCAGCAGGACTGCGGGAGGCAAGAAACCCACCCTCTCTGGTCAAGCCCCTGAGCCCCTAGGCCAGAGGAGACCCCAGGAGCTGCCCGGACCACATCAGAGGGTGGCAGGTGTGCCCACCTCTCACCTGGCATCAATCTCCTTCTTCCTGTGTCTTCTTGAACGTGGCCAAAGCTTCCGCCAACACGCCGTCAGGATCTAGAATTTTGACCTGGAGGGAAGCAGCAGGGGTTGGTTTGGGGAGCATGGAAGGCCCAGGCTGCCAGCCTTCGGGGCGCTGCCTGCTTTGGGGGTTATTGCCAGCCTCCCTGGGGTCGCCCTGACTGAAAACAAAACCGCGTCTGTTTCCTGGCCGGGCTGGGCTCGGACAGGCTGGGTGTGGCTGTGGGTGCTGTTTTGTCTCTCCCTGGGCTGCATGTGGCCCCAGGATCCGGGAGAGCTTCCCACCTCAGGAATGGGGAACTGGGTGGGCTTGGGGGCCTCATCACGGCCACAGTCAATCATTGTGCCACACTTGGCTATGTTGTCGACCCAGAGGCCTTCGAACAGCTGACCATGGTCCAGGTGGAAGAAGCGCCCCCACCCATTCTTCATGCCTCTCTGCCAGTTGCCTTCGTAGCGGTTCCCGTTCTCTGGGGGAAAGAACAGGGAGTTAGGGGTCTTGGCCCACAAAACCAGGCCAGACTACATATACCCGGGCTGGACCCTGGCCACTGCCAGGCCAGACATCATGCCCACCAGAAAGCCATAGAGCCCTGGGGTGTGAGCGACTTCCGGTTTCAGACCTGGTTCACATCTCACCTCCACTACCTCCCGGAACTTAGATGAGCACCATAGTTTCCTAGCTGTAAAAAATATAGCGAATAATACTGACAGGCAATGTTCTTCCTGCACTTACTCTGTGCCTGGTTCCATGCTGTTTCTGACCTCACATCTCACAAAAACAGTTCTGTGAAGGATGAAGGATTCCATTTTATACATGGAACTTGAAAAGCTCCAGGAATTTGACTGATTTGCACAAGGTCACAGAACTAGGAAGTGGCAGAGGCAGGGTTTCAAACCAAATCCTGTTCATATCAGGAGCCCCGGCTCTTAATCGGGAATCAATTCCACTTCCCACTGGATATCGGTGGTGGTGGTGTAAAAATAATAATAATAAAGCCAATATGTCTCAGCTCAGTCACTTACCAGCCGTGTGACCTTGAGTACGTCACTGAACCATTTTGTCTCATTTCCTCATTTGTAAAACGGGGACAAGAGTAGCTCCTCACTCATAAAATTATTCTGAAGATTAAATGAGTCCATACACAGACAGGACTTAGAAGAGTATTGGATGAACTCTAGGTCAGAGGTCAGCAAACTTTTTCTGCAAAGGGGCAGATAGTGTTTTCGGCATCGTGGGCCATAGGGTCTCTGCTGTGCATGGTCAACTCTGCCATTGCAGCACAAAAGCAGCCCGTGGGGACTTCCCTCGTGGCACAGTGGTTGGGAATCCGCCTGCCAGTGCAGGGGACACGGATTGGAGCCCTGGTCCGGGAGGATCCCACATGCCGCGGAGCGACTAAGCCCGTGTGCCACAACTACTGAGCCTGCGCTCTAGAGCCCACGCGCCCACGTGCCTAGAGCCCGTGCTCCACAACAAGAGAGGCCACCGCAATGAGAAGCCCGCGCACTGCAACAGGGAGTAGCCCCCGCTCGCCGCAGCTGGAGAAAGCCTGCGTGCAGCAACAAGGACCCAACGCAGCCAAAATTAAAGTTAATAAATTAATTTTTTTAAAAAAGCAGCCTGTGGACAATACATAACTGAACGAGCACATCTGTGTGCCAATAAAACTTTATTTACAAAACATGTGTTGGGCTGGATTTGGCCAATAGTTTGCTGAGCTCATACAAGGATGTACTGATTCTGAGCACTTACTATTCCGTGTCATGCTAAGCGTTTTACAAATATAAACCTCATTTAACCTTCACAATAACTCTAGTTAAACTTTATTTTTTCCTTACTTTACAGTTGAGAAAAATGAAGCAGAGAGAGTGTAAAGAAATTAATTGCCCAAGGTCCCACAACTAGTAAGAGCTTGAGCTAGAATTTGAACCCAGGCTGGCCGGCTCCAGAGTCCAAGCCTTAGAAACGGTGCACTTAGAGCTCCTTCACTGTGCGGGCCACAGAAGGTGCTCACTGAAAGCAGGCTATTACTACTAGGAGATGCACACTGAAATCAGGCACGGAGGCGGATGCACAGGGGATTGAGAATGACAGAGTGGCTACCCTTAACCCTCCCCAGCTGCCCAATGCCTTGGTTTAGTCAAATCTCTTTGGAGGGACTTACCTAGTGGCACAGTGGTTAAGAATCCGCCTGCCAGTGCAGGGAACACGGGTTCGAGCCCTGGTCTGGGAAGATCCCACATGCCATGGAGCCCGTGTGCCACAGCCACTGAGCCTGCGCACCACAACTACTGAAGCCTGCGTGCTTAGAGCCTGTGCTCTGCAACAAGAGAAGCCACTGCAATAAGAAGCCCATGCACTGCAAGTAGACCCTGCTCGCCGCAACCAGAGAAAGCCTGCTCGCAGCAACGAAAACCCAACACAGCCAAAAAAAAAAAATCTCTTTGGAAGTTGGAATCTTGAGTTTTCAGGAGACTGGGCTCTGGTTTGTGTCCTCACCAAGAGTATCTACTTACTACATGGCAGGCACTGGGGAAACAGTGGGGAACAAAACAGACACATTCCCAGTCCTTCTGCAGGCTCACAGTCTGGAGGGGCAATGATACTAGCTTTATCGACAGCCTACTACGTGCTAGGCCCTGTTCTAAGCACTTTACACAGACTCCCTCATCTAATCCTCCCCATAGCCCTATGAAGTGGGTACTGCCATTATTCCCATTTTACAGGAGAGGAAACTGAGGCACAGAGATGCAAAGTAGTTCGCCCAAGATTATACACCTAGTTCTAAGAAGGAAAGGAAGCAAGTGCTGAGAAGAATGTGCTTTAGGTGGAACGTACAAATGCAAAGATCTGGGGGAATCTTCTTTTTTTTTTTAATATTTATTTATTTGGCTGCACCAGGTCTTAGTTGTGTCACATGGGATCTTTGTTGCTGCCTGCGGGATCTTCCTTGTGGCATGCAGGATGTTTTAGTTGCAGCATGCGGGAATTTTTTTTTTTTTTTTTTTTTTTAGTCGTGGCATGTGAACTCTTACTTGCAGCATGTGGGATCTAGTTCCCTGACCAGGGATCAAACCCAGGCCCCCTGCATTGGGAGCGTGGAGTCTTAGCTACTGGACCACCAGGGAAGTCCCTGTGGGAATCTTTCTATTCCAGGAAGAGGGAACAGCAGTGCAAGGGCCCTGAGGCAGAAAGTGGGAGGAACTGAAAGAAAGTTAGTATGGCCAAAAAGAAGGGCGTCCAGGGGAAGAGGGGAGGTGAAACTGGAGTGGTGAGCAGGGCCAGATCATGCTGGGCCCCACAGACCACAGTCAGGCCTCTGAACTGAGTCTGAGGGCAATAGGGAGCTATGGAAAGGTTGAAAGCAAGGCAGTGACAAGGTCCAATTTATGAAAAGCTGGCTCTGTTTGCTTTGTAGAGAATGGATTAAGTCCTGATACAAATGCAAGCTTCTCAGAACTCTTTCCTCTGCCTGGGAATGTTCTTCCCCAGCGCAATACATATCCCGCTTCCTTCTCCTCCTTCCATTCTCCATTCAAACAACACCTCTTCAGGGAGGCGGTCTCTGACTGTAAGCCAATCTAAACAGCCCTGACCCCAACTCCTTTGTCATTCTCCAACACGTCTTCCTGTTTTCAAGGGCAATTCCTTAGCACTTCTGACCTCAGAACAGATTGCGTAAACTTGAGCAAATGACTTAACCTCTCTGTGCCTTTGTTCATTTGTAAAATGCGGATGATGAGAGCACCTATCTTATAGGATTGCTTTGTGGATTAAATGAGCTCAGGGCTGTATAAGTGTAGGCTATGATTATTACGACCATAAGACAATGTCTTAATTGTTTATATTTATTGTTAGGCTCCCCTTATAGAGTATAAACTTCCTGAGGGCAAGGACCGGGTCCTGTCATTCAGCTTAACCCAGTCGGAACAGGTCTATGCGGGGACTTGGCCTGATGGGGCGTGGCCATGAGGGGCCCAGAGGAATGTGACTTGAGGGCGTGGCCGGGTGGGCGTGATCCACAGGCCATTTGGGGTGGGGCTAAGCACTCACTCAGGCGTAACATGCCCTCCCCTTCCGGCTTGTCGTTGCACCACTGGCCCTCATAGATGTCTCCGTTGCTGTAGTACATGCGGCCCCAACCGCTGCGCTGGTTGCCACACCAGTCACCCTCGTAATACTCCTTGGGTCCGAAAAACTGGATCCCATAGCCCTGAAAGCACGAAGGTGTCCTTGTTCACGACGTCCCACACCACTAGGAACTCCCACCATCCTCCCTGGCACCCAAGCCACACACCTGGGCTTCTCCCCTGCTTCCTCCCCCAGCCCTACATCCAAGCTGACGCTCGTGTATCGAAAAATCTCCCAGGCCGTCCATTCTCCTCTATGCCTTCCTGCAGCCCACCATCATTTCATCCCTTCTCACTGGTCTACCTCCTCCACTCTCCCGTTCTTCCCTGACCCCATGCATCTGCCATACAGCTCCTAGGAGATCTTTACGTTGTCTATCCGATCACATTTGCCCCGTCTCCTCAACTCTGATTTGATCCTATTAAAAGTCGCAGATGCCTGACAATCAGATCAAAGCTATGGACTTTCTCCCCAGAAAAATGGACATAATCACTTATCATGCAGCCGCAGAGAATCACCACAAACTCCCCGCAGATCACACCTGAAGAGGGTGGGTTATGCAGCCCAAGTCTACTCTTCAACATCCTCATCCCCTACATAACCTTCAAGGCCTCACTCCCACCCCTGTGGGCAGACACACCTTGCTGTTTATTATATCCTTCCTTTTGGTATTTCCTCTTCTCCTTTTTTACTCCCTAACTCCTTGCATCTTACGGTGTCACCTTCTACAGGAAGCCTGCCCTGAATTCTCAATGAACTGCCTCTGGACTTTCTGTAAAAACCTCTATCCTAGCACCATATTATATGTAAAATATTTATTTTGGGAGCTTTATCCCCACTGGCCAATAAACATTTTGAGAGTAGAGATCATGAAATGCTGGGCTCTACAACTTGCCAGTGGTGTGACCCCAAGCAAGGCACTTCACCTTCTGCGCCTTTCTGAGCTTGTTTCCTCATCAGTAAAACGGGAATAATAATGATGATGATGATGTTGTTTTGTTGATGTGAGAGTTTACAATATATCATGTTCCAGGGTTACGGTAGCTGTTGTTCCATAGCAATACTGTATTATTATCTGTCTCCATGACCTATGGTGAGGATTCAGGTGTCGATGGGTTGGGGGCATGCCTCTGGCTGGTTTCTATCCCTCAAGACCTTCCTCTCTTGGCCAAGGGTGTGGCCTCTGCTTTCTTTCTTGCTCCCACTCTTCCAAACCCCCGCTGCCACCTCTTATCCAGTCCCAACAGAAGGGGGGTTCTCAGAAAGGGATGCCAGGGGAAAAGAAAGCCAGGAAATGAGTGGGGAGGTTGGGAGGAGACTTTGGCCCCCCACAGCCTGGCTGGCTTCTTGTAGCCACAGGGTTTCATGGGCTCCTCCCTGGGCCCTCTCCTCTTGCTTCCTGTTTCCTGGGTTTTGTTCTGAGAAGCCTTGATGTTCCCCCACCCCTTCCTTCTCCCACCCACACAGCAACCCTGTTCTCCTCCCCTAGATCCCCCCACCCTTTTCTCCCAGGCCTCTCTGACTGTTCCCCCTCCCCCCCACACACACACAGCCTGCTTTCAGCCTGGCCCACACCCCAGGGCATGATGGGAACCACTCACACATTTCTTATCGCCTTTCCACCAGCCTGAGTAGACTCTCCTGTACTTTCCGGTCTCTTGGTCAGAAAGGCTGAGGGTGCCATAGCCATCTCTCTTCCCAGATTTCCAGTCCCCCTCATAGATGGCTCCGTTCTTCCTCCAGACCTGTGTTCCTTTCCCTAGGGACACAAAGATGAGCCAACATGGTAGACATGGCCTTTATGGGGCTGGGGATGCCGGGAGGCAGGTGCTGTGTCTGCTGGGCCTCAGGGGCCCCTAGACTGGACAATTCTCAAGAACTGGGTCAGGGTCTGTGCCCGGTCTCCAGACCCCCAGCACCCAGGAAAACCCCCCAAAAGTTCTATTTCTACAGCCCTTTGCCCTGAAGCCAAACTGACATAGCAGACCCCAAGTAGAAATCTGCCTCTTCAGTGTTTCAGCTTCGTCTTTTCTTAAATTTTAATTTTTATTTATTTATTTTTGGTTGCATTGGGTCTTCGTTGCTGCGCGCGGGCTTTCTCTAGTTGTGGTGAACGGGGGCTACTCTTCGTTGTGGTGTGCAGGCTTCTCATTGCAGTGGCTTCTCTTGTTGCGGAGCACAGGCTCTAGGCATGCAGGCTTCAGTACTTGTAGCACACGGGCTCAGTAGTTGTGGCACGCAGGCTCAGTAGTTGTGGCGCATGGGCTTAGTTGCTCCGTGGCATGTGGGATCTTCCTGGACCAGGGCTTGAACCCATGTCCCCTGCATTGGCAGGTGGATTCTTAACCATTGTGCCACCAGGGAAGTCCCAAGCTTCATCTTTTAATAATACTGAATGGATACACCAGATGGTCAGGATTTTTAGAAAATGTTCTGCATATCTCTTCAGTTCTCCTGAACACACATGGAAACCCATCTCCTACTACTCCAACCGCTCTGTGTCCTCCACTCCCGTTTTCCATTCTGCCCTCCAACCACTGTGGTTTCCATGCTGTTCTTGGGACCCACCTGTTATGCTTTTGCCTCAGGGCTTTTGTACCTGCTTCTCCTTTAGCCTGGAAAATTCTTCCCTCTATATTTGCTCACTCCCTACCTCCTGCAAGTCTTTGCTGAAATCTCATTTTCTCAATGAGGCCTACCCTGACCATCCCGTTTAAAATGATTCCCTATAAGCTTCTTTTAATCCCTTACCCTGTTCTGTTTCTTTCTATATCACTTCTCAGCTCTAGACATAATAGATAATTCACTTATTTATCATTTATTGTCTATTGTCTGTCTCTTCCAGGAGAATGTACGCTCTACAAGAGCACAGACTGGTCTGTTCTGTTCACTGCTCTATATCCAGCACGGAAGAACAGTGTCTGGCATGTTGTAGGTGACCAATATTTGTTGAACAAAGAGATGAATACAATATTTGCGGAGTACCTATGCACGCCAACTCATGTCTTGGTCCTTGGTAGCTCAGGAACAAATCCAACATTGTCCCTGTGAGCTTTTTGATCTAGTGCAAGTAACTTAACTCTCTGGGCCTCAGGTTCCTCGTCTGCAAAATGGGGATAAGAGTATCTCATGGGGTTGTTCTGTTCACTAAATTCATTAATATATGTAGAACACTTAGGACAATACCTGCAAATAGAAAAGATGATATCAATGATTTTTGCCCTTGAGGTGGGGTCCAGTCACATCGCAGGGGATGAAGGGTTGTTTACATCTGTTCTTCTTCTAGTTTATTTCCTTTGGGGACACAGCCCTCCCTCTCAGTCCTTCAGGTTTGCATGGGGCTGACTTCTCCTCCTGGCAAGCCTAGCCAATCAGTGTATTCTATCCACCCAGGCCTCTGTGACTGGTTCAGTGAAGGGCATGTGACCAAGTTGGTCCAATGAGACTGTTTGTCTCCCAGATGAAGGCAGAACTTACCAAGGCCTAAGAGGCCCTATACGACTGGCCCTCTTAACCTGCCCCTTTCTCCCCTCCTTCTCTGTGTTCCAGCCCACTGGTTTCCAGTCCGTTCCTTGAACAAGAGGTTATAGTGAAAAACACCCCCCCATCTCTGATTCCACTATCTAGAAGACATGCTCCCCCCTGCCTGGCTAATCATTTGCATCCTCTGGGCTCGGCTCAAACATGTTCTCATGGCTCCTTTCGTGGCTTCTCTCTGGTCCCCTTTACATCCTGATGATACCACTTTTAGCTGTGTGGCCTTGAGTAAGTCACTTCCTCTCTCTGAGCCCCAGTTTCCTCATCTGTAAAATGGGACATTACCTACTGTGCAGGTTGTCAGTGAGACAGGAAGGACCCTGAGTGTTGGGATTCTTCCAGATGCCCGGTATAGGGCCTGGCACAGACTAGGAGCACAATGAGTATTAGTGGAGTGAGTGGTCTGGGTAACCACTGGGGCCTTGCCCTGAATGACGGCTCTCTTGACTGCTTCCAGCCTGCTTATACTACAGCAACCCACTTCAGCGTGGTCGAAAGGTGAGTCAAGAGAGGGGGCATTGGACCTGGGTTCTCTGACAGATCTGCTTTCTGCAGCCCCAGCCCCATCAGCTCTATGCCTCCAGGGTCTGAGGGGAGGCAGAACTCACACGGGAGGACTCAGAGGGCCACACCAGCCCACAAGGTCATATCGCAGGTAGGGCAGCCAAGTCCAGAGAATGGGAAATGACTTACCCAAAGTCACACAGCTACTCAGTAATAGAGCCAGGCTCAGAACTTCAGGGTCCTGACTCCAAGTCCAGGGCTCTGTCCACACCACAGGCTGCCCACAAGGATTGAAACATGCAGGCAGACATCTTTAACCGCACGTAGAGCTCCAAGCAGCTGCTTAAGTCAGTGCTGAGGGTGGGTGTTGTGTTACACACTGGGTGAGGTCAACTTTGGGGGCCTTCTTGGACAAGGAAGCTCTAAGTAGTGATCCCTGCCATGGTCAGCCCTCCGAGAACACTCCAGAAGTTCCCTTCTGCACAGACTCTTGGCTAAATACTTGATAGATGTCATCTCTTAACAGATAGGTATTATTCCCATTTTACAGATGGGGAGACTGGGGCTTGGAGTACTGTAGTAGATCTCTCAAGGTCATAGTTACTGGAGCTGAGATTCTGACCCAGCTTTATGGACTCAAGCACTTAACGCAGGAAGGCAGGAGAGAAGAATGGTTAAGAGCAGAGAATCTGGAATTGCAAGACTGGACTGAGAAGCCATCACACCTTTTTTGAATAAAAACTTATTCTTTTTCTTCAGGGCTTAGTTTGTATCACAAAGAGCCCCGTACTTCCTGCTAGTTAAACTGAGCCCAGCCCAGTTAAAGTCAGAGCCCCAGCCACTTGGGGTGGGGGGTGGAAGTATAGGGGGTGGGGGGGTAGGGGGTGGGGGATAGCGGGTGTCCTCCCTCGCCCCCTACTGGTTTGAAGGGCTGAATTTGAAGACCAGAATCCCAGTTGCAAGCTGCTTTCTGGGGGCCGCCTTTTCCTCCTGCTAGCCAGCCCCATGCTTAGCCCAGGTGTCAGAGGTAGAGAATGAGCTGGTGTCCTGAGAGTCCCGGCTGAGGCTCTGGCTGGTGCCTAAAGACTGCTCTGTCCCCTACTGGTCCCTTTGCTCAGCTGAAGCCAGGGCTGAGTTGGGTTCCAGAACCCCAGCAGGAGGAGGCCCCTGGTTGGTCCAAGTCAGCATTCACTCCTCAGAGATACATGTTATATCCCCAGTGAGCTATGCAAGCTGCTTCCTTGGCCCCAGTTGCCCACCATGGCCCAGACCCCATACTCACCGCCTGAGCCCCTGAAGGTCCCCCACTTACCGTGTTTCATGTTGTCCTTCCACTTGCCCACATAGTGATCACCATTGACAGCGAACACCTGGTGCCTCAGTCCGTTCTTCTGGGCCTTCCGGTCCCATGCTTTCCACAGGGGCTCCGACTTTGGTGGGCACTTGGTGATAGGCATGGTGGCTGCTTCTGTGGGCCAGGGGGTGCTGGCAAAAGGTTACGGACATCAGGGGCTCAGTTTGCCGTAAGTAATGCCAGGATCCTGGGGCTTCCCAGGGAGACACCTGTCTGAGGTCAAGTGGGACGAGTCACGTGTGTTCTGAGTCCCCAGGGCAGATAAGCAGCCCTTGCGGGGTTTTCTTTTGTGCTGGACTGACCCCCCTGGGAGGCTCTCTCTTCCCTTGCCTCTCCAGGGGCCCCTTGGGGCGGGGAATCTGATGGCACAATTGCTTGGGATGGGAACCCAGGGAAACCAACAGGGCAGAGGGGTTTGTGATGACATCGGGGAGAAGCTGCCCCGGGGGAGAGGGTGAAAGTCACATATTTAATAACCAGTATGACCAACCAGCGTGGATGCGGGCCTGGAGCCCTCAGTCGTGAACACTACAACCCACTCTGGGGAGTTGGGGCCTAGCCAGGCCCCTCTGTCTGGGCTGGCAGACAGCCGTGATGACACAGCCCACAGGGGCACCCCCGCTACCGCCACTGGCTCGACACCCAACACTTTAGCCCCCTGGGTCCTGCCCCCTATGCCTGGTGGACAGGATGGTAGAAAAGCCTAGGGGCTGGCTTGGCAGGGGTTTGTGAGCTGTCAGGAGAGCCCCTCAGCTGAAGAGACTGCCTCTTGGGAGACCCCCTGTACCGGTTTGCCCGGGACTGAGGGGCTTCCTAGGACATTGGACTTTCAGTGCTAAAGCTGGAGCAGTCCCAGGCACACCAGGATGGTTGATCACCCTCTGCCTCTGCCCTCTGCCCTCTGCCTAGGTACTCTTCCTGTCTGCCTGGTTAGGTTTTTTTCATCAGACCAGGGCTCTCCTCCCCACCCTGCCTGGTGGGGTTTGGGTCTCTCCCCAGACTGGGAGCCCCCCATCTATGCTCTTCTTGTCCCCAGTGCAGACATTCATGTCTATGTGTTTCTCTCCAGGGGACTTGTGCAAGGTGACAAAGATGGTCTCCAAATCCGGGGATCTCTGTTTCCCCTCAGCAGGTACCATCTATCCTGCTCCATAAATGGGAAATACACACACACACACTCAAGCAGTGCTAGCAGCCAAGGATGGGGGTGGAGGAGTGGAGGGATGGGGGAATGAGGGGACGGGGGTGGGGGACTAGAGCGAACTATTTAACCATCAGCAGGCAGAAGTCTTTTTTGTTTTTGTTTTTGTTTGCCGTACTGCTTGGCCTGCGGAATCTTAGTTCCCCCGCCAGGGATAGAACCCAGGCCCCCTGCAGTGGAAGCACGAAGTCCTAACCAGTGGACTGCCAGGGAATTCCCAGGCAGAGGTATTGACCAATGAGAATGACCTCGGGGCTGAGCAGGTTTCAGGAGATCTTGGTGTCCCAAGCATCCACCCACCCAGGACCAGCATCACAGGTGTGCAACCTGAACAGTTGCACAGGGCCTGGTCCTTAGAGGGGTGTGTACTTGGTCTCGGGCTCTGTCGCTGTTTTGAAATTCTTAATACTGTATGAGCTACTGCCTCACGTTTTCCTTTTGCATTGGGCCCTGCTTATCAAGGAGTTCCCTGTAGGGCCACAGCAGGGGCCTCAGTGATTCTGAGTAAGCTGGCCAACTGTACTGGCTAGTTCGTATTTTGACAATCATGCCTAGGAATTGGGAAAGTCACTCCAGGCAAGGAAGACAGCCAGGGTGAAAACTGGGCAGAGGGAAACAGTCTCAGGTCCTAAATTTAATGTTTTTCTTTTTTCTCCCATTTGCATGTATCATGTGTACTATGATTAATCTTTACATTGAAGTTAATTCACTTAAAACATCAATACATTTATCCAAGGAAGATTTTGCAAGCATTACTTGAGTCTTAGCTAGACACTGGGGCTTACAGTTGAGATTAGCAAATGTTCAGAAAGGTGTTAATGCCATATTAGCCCCAAACTGACACTTTCTCCTTGGTTTACTCAGAACCGTAAGAGAACCCAGAATCTAATAACTTTCTTACGATGTCATTGGGTGATACTTAATGCTTCATCAGTGTAACTCAACCTCTGTCCCACACTTTCAGGAACGTAGATGCTACCCTAGAGGAGGTTGTGGTCTTAATACATAGAGCTCCTGATAAGGAAAGAAAGCTTTGGGGAATTCCCTGGCGGTCCAGTGGTTAGGATAGGACTAGGCGTTTTCACTGCCAGGGCGCGAGTTAGATCGTGGCCGCAAGCCACGTTGCGTGGCCACAAAAAAAAAAAAAAAAAAAAGGGGGGGGAAAGAAGGCTTTGCCACTCGGTGCGCGTACTCTACTCGTGTTGTTTTGATATTGAATAACAATAATTACCACCATGTAAAGTGGAAGGAGCAGGGCACAGACGGCCGGGGGTCAGCCGCTAGCCCGCGCCTCGTCACACCTACGCCGGCTCACCTGCGCTCTCCTGCGGGGCGGATCCTGCATCTGGAGTCCTGGGCCGAGAACGGTGGAGTCGCCGCCCGCAGCCTCCGGCCTCAATCGACCGCAGCGCGCGTTCCGGCGTCCCAAGCCCTGCCAGGGTCCCTATGGCAACGCGGGGCCCCAGCAAAGCCAGCCGGCAGGGCCCGCCCTTTCCTGCGGAGACTGTGAGCTCGGGGCCGCGTGTGGGGAAGGCTGTAGATCCTCCCGCGACGAGGAAGGACGTCTTCGGGCCTGCGGAGGTCGAGTACTGGCTGGTGCACCGGCCCGGTGGCCAAAGGCTGGTGGGCGAGCCCGGGAGACCTGATATCCGCGGAGCTTGGGCCACGGTGTGCCCCGGGAGGTTACTGCCCTCCCCACCCCCGCTTCCCTCCCGTCCCGGTTTCCCCGGAGCAAATACCACTCCCGATGCTGGCAGGAAAGTGTCAAAGGCTTTTCTGCCTTGTTGCAAAGACAGAGGGGCAAAATTAAAGGGAAAGCCAACATTACACGTGTTCTTTGTTTTGTGATGGTTTATTAGACTCTTCTGAGAATCTGAGGGAAGCTATATTGCCCCTACACACCGGAAGATGCATATGATTTACATAGACACAAGTCGGCCCAAGTCATTCCTCAGCTCACATCCCTACAGTGGTTCCCCTTACCACTCAGAGTAAAAGCCACAGTGCCTACAGTGTCTTCAAAGTGCTGCGTCATTTGCCCACCTCCCTCCCCTTTCCTCTCTGAGTTTGTCCCCTACTCTGTGCGCCCAGTCCCACTCTGCTCTAGCCTCACACTTGCTTCCTTGTGGTTCCTGGAAAATGCTAGGCGTGTTCCTGCCTAAGGGCCTTTGCCTCTTCTGTGCCCTCTGCCAGGCCATTTCTTCCTCCAAATAGCGGCCTGGATCAAGCCCTGCCCTCCAGGGCTTTATTCAAATCACCTCAGTACGAGTGTCTGGACCACCCTATTTAAAATTGGAATCTCCGGGCTTCCCTGGTGGCGCAGTGGTTGAGAATCCGCCTGCCAGTGCAGGAGACACAGGTTCGAGCCCTGGTCCGGGAAGATCCCACATGCCGCAGAGCAACGAAGCCCGTGCGCCACAACTACTGAGCCTGTGCTCTAGAGCCCGCGAGCCACAACTACTGAAGCCTGCGTGCCACAACTACTGAGGCCCACGTGCCTAGGGCCCGTGCTCCGCAACATGAGAGGCCACTGCAATGAGAAGGCTGTGCACCGCATCGAAGAGTGGCCACCGCTCACCGCAACTAGTGAAAAGCCCGCGCGCAGCAACGGACACCCAACGCAGCCAAAAATAAATAAATTTATAAAAAATATATATTAAAAAAATAAATAAATAAATAAAATAAAACTGGAATCTCCATATATACTTTCTGAAACGTTTTCCTCTTTCCCAACCTCATTCCTGTTTCATATTCTCTGTAGCACTACACGCACACACAACCCTTATTTATTGTCTGTCTCTTTGAATACAAAAAAAAAAAATTTTTTTTTTGGTTGTGCCAGGCCGTTTGCAGGGATCTTACCTGACCAAGGATCATTGAACCCATGCCCCCTGCAGTGGAGGCGTGGAGCCCTAACCACTGGACTGCCAGGGAATTCCCAGAATATTTGTTGAGGTATAATTTTTGCTCTAGAGTTCCCCTCAGGATCAGGCTGCACTCACTTGGCTTTTTAACTTACTACCCCCCGCCCCCCCCGCCGTCTATTAGCCAGTTTCTACTGGAAGCAGTTCCTTAACAAATCATATAAATATTATATATACATTTTTTCTTTTTTACAAAACTGGAGCCAACTTGTGACCATAGAAGAAACACAACGGACCCAGAGAATGGCACAGTTTTCCATGATGAAATTCATTCAAGAACATCATTTTAACACCTGGATAGTTTCTTCACCAGTCTCTTGGTGATGGGCATCAGATTTATTGCCTATATTCCCCATTATAAATGTTGATCTGATGAATGTCCTTCCGTTTAAATGTGGTTATGCATCGCAGCTTATTTCCTTAGGAAAGATTCCTAGAGACAGAATTGTGGGTCAAAGGGTGTGAGCATTTCTGAACTCTTGATATATGTCACCAAATTGCCCTCCTGAAAGATTGTATCAGTTCCATACACAGAATAGAAGAGTGTCTGTTTTTTCCCCCATCTTTACCCTTTGCCCACATTGAGTATTATTTTTAAAGCTCTTTACCCATCTCATAGACAAAAGTCTTGTTCTGATGGCTTTTCTTTGATTACCAGTGGGCTCCCCTTCACTGCTTTGCTCTTCACTCCCACTGGAATGGGAATTTTGCTCTAATTTCCACATGTATCACATTATTTGTAGTTAATTTGTTGGGTGTCTCTCTGTCTCATTAGAAGGTAATTGACATAGACCTTATACAGTGTACCTTTTTTTTTTAACATCTTTATTGGGGTATAATTGCTTTACAATGGTGTGTTAGTTTCTGCTTTATAACAAAGTGAATCAGTTATACATATACATATGTTCCCATATCTCTTCCCTCTTGCGTCTCCCTCCCTCCCACCCTCCCTATCCCACCCCTCTATACAGTGTATCTTAATGCCTTATCCAAGGTTCCTTTGGTTGCAGGTAGAGAACCATCTCACACTATCTAATTAAGGAAATTTATTAAGGATACAAGAGTGTTGGAAAGCTGCCAACAGCAAAGCCATTCTCTCTCTCTCTCTCTCTCTCCATGTCTCCTTCATCTTTCTCATTCTGCCAATCAGCTTTCTCATGCTCATGGTTCCACCTCGGTTCGGTTCCAAACACTCACAGAAATTAATTGGCTCTTTCCAAATTCCAATCCCAAATTCATGACTGGCTCACCTAGGGTCTGGAGTCTGCCCAGGGCCAGTCATGCCGCAGATGCTGTGGTTCTCCTCAAGGCATTCTCCTCTCCTACCCACGTACCTGGCCAGCTGTTCCAGCAGGTTCTATCCTGGTGCAAACCATCCCTGTGCTGTGGCTTTGTCCAGAGCTGCCCTGCCACCCGCTGAGTGGCACCTCAATGGTCTAGTTTTCTCTCTCCCAAGGCCAGGCTAAGACACAGCCTCAAGCCTCAGTCCCACCCCTCCAAGAAGCCCTTTTACAACCACTAATCAAACCCTGGCTCAGGGGAAGCAAGGACTGTCCCCTAGAGAAGAATCTGGGGCAGGTTAACGTTTATCTGCCTCGGCAGGCAATCTGGATGGGCAGGTTACAAATCTATGAGATTATTCTCCTTATGGAGTCAGAATTTGGTAGCATAACTCACAAGCTCCTGAGCAGGTGCTATGGACTGGCCACTCCTTAATACCGAAGTGCCAGGAACATCAAGCTTGAGGTCTTCTGTCCCGTACACCCTTCTGATAATCACTTGCCAGATTTGAATGGCTAGAATTGGGACTTCCCTGGAAGCCCAGTTGTTAAGACTCCATGTTTCCACTGTAGGGGGCCCGGGTTCAATCCCTGGTTAGGGAACTAAGATCCCACAAGCCGAATGGCATGGCCAAAAAAAAAAAAAAAAAAGAGAATGGAACGGATAAAAAAATGTCATCTATCCATACAGTGGAATATTATTCAGCCATAAAAAGGAATGAAATACTGACACAGGCTACAACATGAATGAACCTCGAAAACATTACGCTAAGTGAGAGAAGCCAGACACCAGACACAAAAGGTCATACGTTGTTTGTTTCCATTCATATGAAATGTCCAGGATAGGCAAATCTATAGAGACAGAAAGTAGATTAGTGGTTACTTTGGGAAGGGGGAGATGGGGAGATGGGAAGGTGATAGTTAAAGGGCAGGTTTGTTTGTTTGTTTGTTTTTTGCAGTGATGAAAATATTCTAAAATTGACTTGATGAAGGGTGCATAACTCTGTGAATATACTAAGAACCATCGAGTTGTACATTTTAAACGGGTGAATTGTATGGTGAATTCTCTCAATAAAGCTGTTTTTTAAAAGTCTCCGGTGCAGAACGAGCGCCCTCTAGGGGCTCTCAGATGTCCAGAGAGAGTCACAGGCCACTTTTTTTTTTTTTGAGACTTCTGCTAAATTAAAAATCAGAGAAATGCCTAAAGAGGGTAACACAAAGTGCAGAAAATGTTATTTAAATTTTTACTGAAGTATAAAATACATACATAAAAGTGGAAATATCCTCGGTGCATAGCTTGATAGATTTTTGCAAACTGAGCACACCATTCTTGTCACGACTGACTCTCTGGGACTCTCCCTTGGGAACGATGCCAAAAGTCTAAATTTGAGTCCCATCGTATATATGAGGCCACCTTTTTTTTTCTTTTTAGAGTTTATTGCAACTTTGGGAAATTAGTGGTAGACCATATGGTTTTAAAAAACAATATGTGGCTGCACTTAAATTCACATAAAAATAGCATTTTAAAAACCATAATGAAATTTAATCCTTTTACACAGGTTAACAAAATGTATTACAAGAAAAACTAAACATTGGGTTTAACAAAAGCAATATTTTTGAAAGTGGAACAATGGAAATATTTTTTCAAATGTTTTACAAATGGTCACCTCTGGGTCCATTTACCACACTAGGGGATCAACGTTGTTCAAATACTTCTGTGCTCAACTGAGCCACTTACCTACAGCACAGTAGTACTAGAAATCAATCCTAAGGTCAAGATGTAAGACCATAAGAGACTAGATCCTAAATGTTTTACAGCCTCCTCAGTAAGAGGTGCTTTTCCTTCCCCAAACAGGATGAGGTCACTTCTGAGCGACTCTATGGGACCCCTCTTTTCCTCTCCTTTCTCTCCTTTCTTAATCTCTAGGGTTATGCCATCAAAGGATTTTATAAAAGTAAAAAGTCAATTCCTCAGTTGTACTAGCCACGTTCCAAGTATCCAGTAGGCACTTGTGGCAACTGGCTCTCCTAGGGGACAGCGCAGATACAGAACATTTCCTTTACCATAGAAAGTTCTATTGGACAGTGCTGCTTTCAGGGATGAGCTCTGATCTCTTGTTTTATCCCTTCCTTGCAAGGTTTCCTTTCACTGCCCACAGCTCCCCATCCTTTTTTTTTTTAAAGTTGGTCAAGGAAATGCTCTGTCAGAACCTAACATAATGTCTACCGGGATAAGCCAGGGGAAATTATGGTGTTTGAAAATAGTTCTTAGGCAAAGAAATACAGCTAATAAATCATCCCAAGGAAATATGCACAACCTCACCAGCAATTAAAGAAATGAGAGTTAAAATAACCCTGCCATGCATTACATACTGTCTAGACTAGAAAAATGTGTAAAAATCATGGACTGTGATATTGCCAACACTGTGGGGAAAAATGCACCATTACCTACCACTAGCCATCCTGGCAATTAGTTAAATCCTCCTGAAGAACCATCTGGAACCATGTTACAGAAACTATAAAGCTATTTTCTAATTCCACTTAACTACTACTGACTACTATATATTTAATAGATAGCTGGTATGAGGCACAGTACTTGGTACTTTACAGAGTTTTTAAAAAAATGTACGTGTGTTTTCACAACAATTCTATGAGGGAGGTAGGTAGCCTTACCTTCATTTTAAAAATCTGCAAACTCTTAGGTTCACAAAAGTTAAGGAAGATACCCAGAGTAAAAGAGCAAAATAAGTGGCTGAGCCAGGATTCAATCTTAGACTTTTTGACCTAGGAAGACCTGCTCAGAACACCACATTGCCTCCCGTTTCAGAGAATTGCCTCCAAGGGAATGGTACAATTAGGGCGGGGAAAGAAATTTACGCAAAAATATACATATTAAAGTAATTATGACACGTATTACAAAGGAAAAATTGGAAAATGCACACAGAAGACAATGTAAGCTGGGCCCGGCACACAGAAGGCTCTCAAAAAAATTTTTTTTTAAAAAGCAATTCGGTGAAAAAGATCTCTGGCCCTTTAAAAGTCAGAGGCGGGTAAAACAGAAAGGAGGCGGGTTAAGAACTGACGCGAGAAGCTGCTTGCCTTATTTAAATGAGCGTGCGTAAAGGCTTGCCCTCGTTCCTCGCCACGTTCCTCACTCAGTGCGCGTGCGCTGTCTTAACCCTGAGGCGGCTCTCGGCTGCTCCTGCCTATTTAGGGGGGCGGAGACAGTCACGTGAGTTCCGTGGACCTGCCTTCTCCCTCCCAATTAACCAGCCCCGCCCCTCTCTTGCACATGCGCGTACTTCGGCACTAGACCAGGAGGTCGGTGAATGGCTCCAGGAGTTGCGCCTGCGCTGTGGACGCCTCTGCCGGAAGTGGGCGGGATCGTGTTCCAAAGCCGAAAGGGCGGAGGGAGAAAGCGCGGCAAGAGTGGCTGAATGGAAAGCTGAATTTCGGGACCGCTCGAATGCCTTGCTGCACAATTACGGAAACTAGAAATGTAAGGCCAGAATGTGATCACTGGAACTTAATTTTCGATTTTAGAAACGTTTTACAAGACTATTCTTTTTTACATGTGTGTTAAGTAAAGGTTTTAGGTTGAAAGAATTTTCCCTGTTTTCTTTTTCCCCATGACTTTTTTTTTTCCCTCTCTCCGCCGCACCGCGGCGCTTGTGGGATCTTAGTTCCCCCACTAGGGATGGAACCTGGGCTCCTGCGGTGGAAGTGCAGAGTCCTAACCACTGGACCACCAGGGAAGTCCCACCATGAATTCTTATATTCTGAAAGACTTAAGGACTCAATAAGGACACATTTGGGTGACTATGTGCCAGGTTGAAAAGAAGTATTATTTAAAAAAAAAAAAATAAGGCACACCTTCTCGCCCACATAAAAGTAGGTCCTCGTCAGGAATCCCAGTCAGGAAATCATTAGGAAGAGATGTTGAATAAGAGCCAGAAAAGAAACAAGTCTGCATAGAGGTAAGTGTGATTTTGTGACGTAAAAGTTAGAAATGTTTTGGAAGTCCCCTGTGTCAGTTCATCAACTTGATTCCTTGTGGAAAACGTGTTATCTTTGGAGATTCAAAGATGAATATAATTCAGCCCCTGTCCTTGACGAGTTCACACTCAGAAAGGAAGGACGGCAGGGTTCAGGGATACGAATACCCTGGGCAAGGTCCTGGAGGTAAGCATGATAGTGTAGTGACTCCGGACACTGTCTTGACCAAAGTGGAAGGATGGCCTCACACAACATGGGAGATCGTGTTGAACGCCCTATGAACAGAGTGGGGGTAGACTGGGAGTGAGGAGGTCCAGATGCCAGGCTGAGGAAGGTTGGCTCCAAATCCAGTGGCCAGGAACCACTGTGTTTTCTTGAACTTGCTGTGCTGGCAGGGGCTGAGGCAGAAGGTGACTTTTTGACCACAGTGATTGGTTGAACAGGGAGAAGTTGGGAAAACTGTCTAAGAAAGTCTCAACCTGGCAGGCAGTAAAACCTCCCCAACTGCCAAGTTATGAATTCTAATTAAGGATGCAAACCATGAAAAGGAAAGAGAAGGTGATTCTTGGGTATCCTTAGGAAGTTGCTCAGACAATTACTGGGCTTTTCTCGTTTGGGTAGCCACCTTCTCTTTAAACTGTTTTCTCCTTGAGACAGAGCATCTTAGAAGAGTCCCAAGCCAAGAATGGACCTGCCCTGAAAGGAATGAACTGTTTCATAGGTACCTCATAAAGAACAGAAAAATAATGAAAATGCAAACAAGGAAACCCTTAAATGGACTCAAAATACACCAGTTAGTACAACCCTCCTCACAGGGGAGTCACACAGGGCCTCATGCTCAGAAGTGCCTTGTGCTTGGCTTAATATTCTGCTGTTACTGTTCTGAAATTCTTAATAACTTTTTATTTTATTTATTAATTTTGACTGCATTGGATCTTCATTTTTGCGCGCGGGCTCTCTCTAGTTGCAGCAAGCGGGGGCTACTCCGCATTGCGGTTGCACGGGTTTCCCACTGCGGTGGCGTCTCTTGTTGCAGAGCATGGGCTCTAGGCGCACAGGCTTCAGTAGTTGTGGCATGCGGGCTCAGTAGTTGTGGCTTGCGGGCTCTAGAGCTCAGGCTCAGTAGTTGTGGTGCACGGGCTTAGTTGCTCCACGGCATGTTGGGGTCTTCCCGGCCCAGGGCTTGAACCCGTGTCCCCTGCACTGGCAGGCGGATTCTTAACCACTGCACCACCAGAGAAGGCCCTATATTATTTTTTAAACTTAATACTTTAGTTGTTTTCTGCTTAAAAGTAATTCATGCTCAAATGATTATCCCCCAAATCAGGATAGTGGTTACCTTAGGGGAAGGGAGGGAGAAGGTTAGGATCAGGGAAGAGCGGTCTGGGGTTATCTAAGGTGATGGCAATGTCTTCTTTTTGTTGTTGTTGTTGGCAATGTTATTCTTGACCTGGGTCTTAGTCACACAGATTCTCTTTATGATTACTATTTAAACTGTACACGTACAATTTATGCATTTTTCTGTATACATTATATGTCACCATAAAAAGGTAATATAGTCTCATTGTTGAAAATGTGGAAAGCAAATTTTTTTTTACTAAAGATGAAGAATGTTGACATATTTCCACCACCCCAGCTCTGTGAGTAGTAGTTTTTCAGGTGAAAGAAAAAAAGACTATTTGTGAATAAATCTGTTGAGTTTTGCCTTTTGTTGGAAGAAAAAGAAATTCTGTGAAGTTGCCAGCAGGTGGCGCAATTAAATAAGATTTAGTCTTGCAGGCTCAAAAGCAAACCAAACCAAAACCAAAAAGCAGCCAACACTTCCCCTGGTGATTGGAAAACGTTTTGGTGAATTTCCCACTACCTACAATCTTCCTCCAATATCCACCATTATACAAAAGAACCTGGTAAATATGCCTTCATTAGGGAACTGTCAGACCTAATTCTTCAAATGCATCGAAGACACTGGATGTTTTCTCCCTGTTTCTTGACAGAGAGCCTCCAAAATAACAGGGTTGGCTGGGACCCAGGATATAGCGCTTTTTGTGTCTGCAACAAATGAGGACAGCAAAGATGTCTAATAATAAATACATTCCTCAAACGTTCTTAGATGGCTTTTGTTTTTGTTTTTTGTTTTTTTTGCGGTACGCGGGCCTCTTACTGTTATGGCCTCTCCCGTTGCGGAGCACAGGCTCCGGACGCGCAGGCTCAGCGGCCATGGCTCACGGGCCCAGCCGCTCCGCAGCATGTGGGATCTTCCCAGACCGGGGCATGAACCCGTGTCCCCTGTATCTGCAGGCGGACTGTGAACCACTGCGCCACCAGGGAAGCCCCTCTTAGATGGCTTTTGAGACGAATTAGGAAGTGTTCAGTTTCTAAATCTTTATCAAGCACTTCCTTCCACTCACATCTCTTTGATAATGGCCACTGGAGGTTGGGTAAGTTTTCACATAAGAAAAAAAGACGTTTTAATCTGGACACTAAGCCAAAGAAAGAGATCAACGTACTCATCATCCTTCTCATTAAGATACACTTATTTGGGGGACTTCCCTGGTGGTCTAGTGGTTAAGACACCACGCTCCCAATGCAGGGGGCCGGGGTTCAATCCCTGGTCAGGGAACTAGATCCCACACGCCGCAATTAAGACCCGGTGCAGCCAAATAAATAAATAAATATTTTAAAAAATCAAAGATTTATTTGGGGCAAGGTTGGCCTGAGGACTGGGCACAGGATGGTGGTGGCCATGGGAGATTGGTTACATATGAGGAGGAATGATCAGATAAGTAAATATATTAAGGATGACAGGAGCCAGGTTTCCCACTGCTGGAGAGGGGAATAGTGAATCTGGAAGGGGACAAACTAGAATGAACTCTGTGGACTGGAATTGGATATTGGTGTGAAGTCATGGTTTTCAATATTTATAAATAGAATTATAAATAAAGGTGTAAATGTGTACATATATACATGCATAATATATAAATATAGACCCTAGATCTGTCCTCAGAGAGAAGAGAATAGTGACATCCCATAGTGATGAACACACACATCTAGTACCCAGAACTTGATTTCTAGGGAATTTCCTGGTGGTCTAGTGGTTAGGACTCCACGCTTTCACTGCCAAGGGCCTGGGTTCAATCCCTGGTCAGGGAACTAAGATCCTGCATGGCACAGCCAAAAACAAAAAACAAAACAAAACAAACTTGGTGGGACTTCCCCTGGTGGTCCAGCGGTTAAGACTCTGCACTCCCATTGCAGGGGGCCTAGGTTTTATCCCTGGTCAGGGACCTAGATCCCGCATGTCACAACTAAGATCTGGAACAGCCAAATAAATAAATATATTAATTAAAAAATCCAACTTGGTTTCTAAATGCCATTCTCCACTGGAAAGAACCAGGAATGCTTGGAGAAATGGCTGATTTCAGAGTTGGAGCTGGCAAAGTATAAGATGTGCTTGGAACATCTTTTTGTGTCAAAAAGTAAGGAAATGCGGGCTTCCCTGGTGGTGTAGTGGTTAAGAATCCTCCTGCCAGTGCAGGGGACACAGATTCGAGCCCTTGTCTGGAAAGATCCCACAAGCTGCGGAACAACTAAGCCCGTGCACCACAACTACTAAGCCTGTGCTCTAGGGCCCGCAAGCCACAACTACTGAGCCTGCGTGCTGCAACTACTGAAGCCCACGCGCCTAGAGCCCATGCTCCACAACAAGAGAAGCCACCTCAATGAGAAGCCCGCACACCACAATAAAGAGTAGCCCCCTGCTCACCGCAACCTGCGTGGCAACGAAGACCCAACGAAGCCAAAAATAAAATAAATAGAAAATAAATAAATTAGAAAAAAAAAAGTAAGGAAATGCTTGAAGAATGTTGGGGATCTATCAAAAAGACAGAAGTCAGCTAAAAGTGAATCTCAGTGGCCAAGTCTGTGACAACTTGAGCATCAAAATAGTTATAGTAATGGATTATAACTCGTTGACTAAGATAAAAAACATGAGTTCATGCTGATATAAATAAATGGAAAGTTTGATGAAGAACAGGGTATTTACGTAGTTAGAGTATCTCCCATAAAATACTTGCAAAGGGAATAAGAGTAACTTGACAGGGGAGAAACCGGGAAAACACTACCTTAAGCAAAGTGAACGTCGTCAGTAGTGGGACACATTGGAATTCTGTGCCACCTGTTGAGCTGCAGTGAGGAGAAAATAGCATCACTTCTGCGGTTGTCCCAGCAAAGATACCTAACCTCAGTCTAATCAGAGGACCTATTAGGCAAACCCTAAGTGAGGAAAGTTCTACAAAGTAACTGTCCTGTCCTGTTCAGAAATTTCAAGAGCAGGAAGATGAAGGAAGATTGAGGAACTGTTCTATATGAAAGGAGGCTAAAGAGACATGACAACTACACACGGCAGGTGAGCCTGGATTGGATCCATTTACTATGAAGGACGTTTTTGGCACAATTGGGAAACTTGAATGGGGTCTGAGGATTAGAAGGAGTAATGTATCAGTGTTAATTTCTTGATTTTGATGCTTGTACTTTGGTTGATTAGGAGAATGTTCTTGATTGTGGGAAATGCCCACTAAAGTATTCAGGAGTGATGGGGTGAACTGGATGAGCAATCTATGCTGAATGGGTTTGAAAAATAAGTTATTTGTACTGTACTTGCAACTTTTCTTTAAGTTTGAGATTTTTTGGATAAGTTAAAAAGTATATGTATATAAATCAACACACAGAATGGGAAAAATAGGGACTTCCCTGGTGGCGCAGTGGTTAAGAATCCGCCTGCCAATGCAGGGGACACGGGTTCGATCCCTGGCCCAGGAAGATCCCACATGCTGCGGAGCAACTAAGCCAGTGCGCCACAACTACTGAAGTCCGCGTGCCTAAAGCCTGTGCTCTGCAACAGGAGAAGCCACCGCAGTGAGAAGCCTGCGCACCGCAACAAGGAGGAGTCCCCGCTCGCTGCAACTAGAGAAAACCCGCGCGCAGCAATGAAGACCCGGTGCAGCCAAAAATAAATAAATAAATACATTTATTTAAAAAAAAAACCCACAGTGAGATACACTTCACACAAAATCACAAGGTTGGCTAAAATGTAAAACAGAGAAAATAACAAGTGTTGACCAGGATGTGGAGAAATTGGAACCCTAGTACTTTGCTGGTGAGGATGTAAAATGCAGCCACTTTGGAAACCAGTTTATTGCTTCCTCAAAATGTTAAAGGTACCATCTGACTAGGCAATTCCACTCCTGAGTGTAATACAAAGTGAAAAGAAAACATGTGTCCACACAAAAACTTGTGCACAAATGTTTGTAGTAGTAGTATTCATAATAATCAAAAAGTGGAAAAAAAATTTTCCATTTACAGTTGAATGGATAAACAAAATGTGTAACTCCAGTCTGAGCCTGAAGGCTTTAGAACCAAGAGAACTGATGGTGTAAATCCCAGTCCCAGGGCAGGAGACTGAAGTCCCAGCTTAACGGGTCAGGCAGAGAGAGAGAATTCTCTCTTCCTCTACCTTTTTGTTCTATTCAGACCCTCAGCTGATTGGACGAGGCCTTCTTATATTGGGGAAGAGAAGCTGCTTTACTCAGTTTACTGATCCAAACAATCTCTTCTGGAAAAACCCTTGCAGACACATCCAGAATAATGTTTAACCAGATACCTGAGCATTCGTGGCTCAGTCAGTTGAGACATAAAGTTAATCATCTTGATAGCTCAATAAAGCTATTATTAAATATATATACATTTTATTGTTCAAAACTGTCAAGGTCGTGAAAAAAACAAGGAAGACTGAGATACTATCACAGACCAGGAGAATATGGAGACATGATATTTAAATGTGGTGTCAGATTGAATCGTGCAACAGAAAAAGGACATCAGTAGAAAGACTGGTTAAACTTGAATAAATTCTGGAGTTTAGTTCATAGTAACATGCCTTTGTTAATTTCTTAGTTTTGATAAAGATGCCATGGTTATGTAAATTGTCAACATTAGGGGGAAATGAGTGAAGGAGAGTAAATGGGAACTCTCTGCACTATCTTTGCCGTCATGTTTGTAAATCTAAAAGTACCCCAGGACGTCCCTGCTGGTCCGCTGGCTAAGACTCTGCGCTCCCAATGCAGGGGGCCCGGGTCCGATCCCCGGTCGGGAAACTAGATCCCACATGCCGCAACTAAGACCCAGCACAGCCAAATAATTAAATATTTAAAAAAGAAAAAAGAAAAGACTCTGTGCTTCCACTGCAGGGGGCGCGGGTTTGATCCCTGGTCAGGGAACTAAAATCCCACATGCCGTGCGGCACAGCCCCCCAAAAAAAGTATCCCAAAATAAAATGTTTGTTTTTTTAAAACCCAAATATATAAAGTTAGTGCTTTCTGGTGCTTACATATCAGGCACTTTACCTACGTCATCTCATTTAGTCCTCAAAACAATCCTACAGAGCAACCCCCAACTTACAGAGAAGGCGAATTATGTACTCAGGGTCACGCATCTGGCAAGTGGCAGGGCTGGGATTTGAACTCAGGTCTGTCTGACTAGTAAATCACACAGCCCCAGCCAGCCAGGACTTTACAGTCCCAGGTAGGCCCAGTAATGCAAATAACTGAATAAGGACATAAAGGACATTTTGATACCTGGAGAGTAAATATTAAACAAATAAATTTTTATAGATAATACTGTTTACATTATAAACCTGTGAACAGAAAGATAGGGGTTTAAAATTTCTATCAAACACCTGAACAACATTTCAGGAAAAACATTATAGGAGGGGTGGTAGTGTGATGAATTGGGAGATTGGGATTGACATATATACACTAATATGTATAAAATGGATAGCTAATAAGAACCTGCTGTATAAAAAAAATTCAAAAAAAACCTGGGTTTAATCTACTGTGTTCAGACTACTTTTAAAACCCTTTTGCCTCTACGTTTTCCCTCTATCAAAACTGCTCTATTGGGGCTTCCCTGGTGGCGCAGTGGTTGAGAGTCTGCCTGCCGATGCAGGGGACACGGGTTCGTGCCCCAGTCCGGGAAGATCCCACATGCCGCGGAGCGGCTGGGCCCATGAGCCGTGGCCACTGAGCCTGCACGTCCAGAGCTTGTGCTCCGCAATGGGAGAGGCCACAACAGTGAGAGGCCTGTGTACCGCAAAACAAAAAAAACCCAAAAAACTGCTCTATTTAGTGCCACCAATAAATTTTTGTTGCTTTGTTTTCTTCTTTTAAAAATTATTTTAACAGAAAAAAGAAAATTCCATCAGTTTATATGGTGGACTATTTTTTTTTTTTCACTTGCCCCAATATTATTTATTGGAAGAGAAATTCTTTCAATTCCCTTCTTTCCTTCTTCCCTCCCACCATATGCTGGACTATTTCTGTTATACTAAATTCACTCAATCTCTTTCAGGGTACACGAATGATCATATAACTTTAATCAGTATATATACATTATTTGGAGATCTACTTTTTTACTTAAACATGCTTTAATGTACCTGTTTAAAGGTATCCATTTAGTTCCCATAATAATTTTTAACAGCCATATAGTATTACATGAAATAGACAGGTTATAGCTTTTTTTTTTTTTTCTGTTTTTTAATTTTTTGGCTGCACCTCGTACCGTGCAGGATCTTAGTTGCCCAACCAGGGATTGAACCCGGGCCACCGCAGTGAAAGCGCTCAGTCCTAACCACTGGACTGCCAGGGAATTCCCAAGACAGACTGCAGCTTACTTAACTGTTTTCCTCTCGTGGGGCACTTGGGATGCTTCCAGTGTGTGGCTGATCTGAAAAATGCTGCTATAACCATCTTTGCACAAATTGCTTGTTACAGTCTTGGGGACTATTTTTTTTTGTGGGAGGGACTATTTTGAGCAAGGGCGTTTGTGGGAAGCAGACGAAGGAAAAGTCCCTGGAATTTTCACTTCTCCCTGGGCAGCTGCTCTTATTTTAGAATAGGCTCTTGGCATCCTGCAGTGCATAAGTAACAGAGCTACCAGTAGCTGGATGAGCTGGGGAAAGTTCTTTCACCTCTCTGTACCTTGGACCCTTGCTATTTCAAGTGTGGTCCTTGAACCAGTAGTATTGGCTGGGAGCTTGTAGAATTACAGAATCTTGGATCCTTCCTAGAACCTACTGAATCACAATATGCATTTTAACAAGATCTCCAGGAGGTGGTTTAAAGCACACTGAAAGCTGGAGAAACCATGCCTTAGAGTACTTACCTGTCGAATAGGGATAATAAAGGTCCTTCCTCATAAGGTCGTCGTGCATTATACATATACGTAATGCATTAACACATATACATAAAGTGCATAGAAGAACGCCAAGCACATAGTAGGTGCTATGTGTTCCTTTATTTTTTGGCCACGCCACGAGGCTCGTGGGATCTTAGTTCCCAGACCAGGGATTGAACCCTAGCCCTGGGCAGTGAAAGCACCAAGTCCTAACTACTGGACCACCAGGGAATTCCCGTTTGCTACTTTTATGACTCTCCCCAGCTGACTGAGCAAATTCTACAGCTGGTAGGTCCCTAAGTAGAGTGCCTTAAAATAAGCAAATAGGAGAGATTTCCCCCTGGTGGTGTGGGGAGGGGGTGGGGGAGGAATCTTGCAACGCACATTCTCACCATTCTCACGTATCATGGTCAAAATCCCTAAGAAGAGGCACATCCAGCCCCAGGAAGCTGATGAGTGAGTCTGAAAGCTCTTTGGGCAGAAACCGGGACAGGGTGGCAGCCAGGTAAGATCTGATACTTCTGGCACCTAAGCAGCTACACTGATGGGGGTGGCCAGCCTGTGCCATCTACAGAAAGGCTTGTGAATAATGCACGTAAAGTCCTGACCCCACAGAGAACAGTCCCTAAGATTTGCAACCTGACCGCTGGCCAACTTGCAGAGAAGGTACATCTGCCTAGCTCTCCCTGGGGGGCAAGGCCAGCCTCTTCAGCCCAGGATCGAGCAGCTGCAAGCATAGGTAAAGGGGGATCGTCGTCCCAAATCCTCTGCTTGGTGACATTTAATTCATCCTTCAAGGCCCTGGATTTCCTTTTCTTTTTTTGCTGTACGCGGGCCTCTCACTGTTGTGGCCTCTCCTGTTGCGGAGCACAGGCTCTGGACGTGCAGGCTCAGCAGCCATGGCTCACAGGCCCAGCCACTCCATGGCATGTGGGATCTTCCCGGACCGGGGCACGAACCCGTGTCCCCTGCATTGGCAGGCGGACTCTCAACCACTGCGCCACCAGGGAAGCCCTGGATTTCCTTTTTGATTCTACTAACCCCAATTAAATAAACTATTTTCTGTTTTTTCACCAAGTGAGTGATTTATCTGGTTTTGCAAACTTCATGACACATTGTATCAGGAGTCTCAAGCTCAGCTGTCTCCAGCCTACATGAAGTAGGCTAGCGCAGTACAACTGAGCCTGCAGGGGACTGTGGCAGCTGGCGAGCCTCCTGTGAAGCGGACATGTGTTCCTCTGGTCCAGCCCATTGCCGAGCACGAACATGAGCCCAGTGTGGCCAGATCTTTCCACTTTTCAAGAGAAAGTAAAAGTCTGGATTTTTATATGAAACTGTCATCTTTTTCTTAATTAAAAAAATTTTACATTTAAAAACTTACATTTAAAACGACTATATTTAAAAACTTAATTTAAAATCTTTTGTTTATAATCCAGCCAAACTGGAAACATCCCAAAGTTACCTCAACTGGTGAACGGATAAACAAATGGATCCATCCATACAATGAAATACACTCAACAAAGGGAGTGTATATACCCATGGAGGGAAACATGGAGACAAACACTTCCATATAATGGTAAGTTGTACGAAGGAGATAAAGCAGGTGAAATGTGACTGGGAGGAGGCATGACCCGTTGGGTGTTCAGGAACAGTTTTTTTTTAGAGATGTTGTTACAGGTTGAATTTTGTCCCACAGAAAGATATGTTGAAGTTCTAATACTCACTCCCTCAGAATGTGACCTTATTTGGAACTAGGTTTTTGCAGATGTAATTAGTTAAACTGAGATGAGTTCATGTTGGAGTAGGGTGGGCCCTTAATCCAAGGAGACTGGTGTCCTTATAAGAGGAGAGGACACACAGAGACAAGCACGTAGGGAAAAAGGCCATGTAAAACAGAGGCAGAGATTGGAGGGGTGAAGCTGCAAGCCAAAGAATGCTGAGGGTTGACCACCACCACCATAAGCTATGAAGAAGCAAGAGAAGATTCTACTCAGAGTCTCAGAGGGAGTATGATCTTGCTGACTCCTTGATTTCTCACTTCTAGCCTCCAGAACTGTGAGAGAATACATTTCTGTTGTTCAAGCCACCCAGTTTGTGGTACTTAACCCAGTTTGTAATTCGGGCAGCCCTAGGAAACTAATACAGGTGTCATTTGAACTAAGGCTAGAATGATGAGAAAAAGGCAACCTTATGAAGATTTAGAGGGAAGAATATTCCATGCAAGGGTAAGAAGAAGAAACCAACAAAAACCGTGGCTGGAGAGTACTTATCGAGAGGGATGAGATAGGAGATGTGACTCGAAAACTAGGCAGGGATAGATCTTGCAGGACTACGCCCGGGAGGTGACGGAATTTGGATTCAATTAGCATTGAGGTGGTTATGTCATTTGAGCGACAGAAACAGCTGTCAAGAGAGTCACCTAGAGTCTTAGAGGGCAGGATCTAGGATGTATTGGTTGAAGTAAATAATGACAATGTGAGATGACAGGGCCCTCTCTTCAGGCCGTCGTTGGCTTTGGCTCAGTTAAGGCAATGCTCCCTCCCCGCAGTCTCCCTTCTACCTCCGGATCCCAGACACCCCCAATACACACAATTTAAGTAAAATAAGCTCTACAAATGCGGTTTGCGGACAAGTTCCCCACCCAAACTAGGCGAGAGAGATTCTGGAGGCGCAGAAGCATTCCCAAGGCGGGGGCAGCCGTAGACCCTACCAAGTTCTGCAAAGCCACAGCAACCCCCCGGCAGGCCCCCGACGCGCGTGGGCGGAGCCGGGGCGGAGCGTACGCATGCGCAGGGCCTGACTCCCGGCGAGGGGTGGGGCGGGCACCAGGGCCGGGGCTGTGACGTCAGGTGCGCGCGTGGCTCCCGCTGCGCAGGAACAGCTGGTGCCTCGGAAGGCGGCCGGCGAGCGGACAGGCGTGGGGTGCTGGTGGCCGGCCGCGCCACGCTGCAGGAGCAACCGCCTCCGCCTCGCACCACTGCACCATGGCCGGCCAGCTGGAGCGTTGCGAGCGCGAGTGGCACGAGCTGGAGGGAGAATTTCAGGAACTGCAGGTAGGACCGGGCCACCTAGTCCTGAAACTCTGCTACCTGATGTGCAGGGTATTCCGCTTCCTGCTTGCCCAGCCCGGGCGGTGGGAACCATTAGGGCCCAGAGGTTGCCCCTGGCTAGGCCCTGGGGGCTGGTGGTCCGCGTGAGCCAGCCCCCTCCCATCTCCCAGTATTTCAATTCTTCATCCCCTTTGGGCGCCGAGTCGAAGCTCCCCATTTCCCCCGCCCTCGCGCCGGCTCTTGGCTCCGCGCACCTCCTTCGCTGCAGAAAGTTGGTCTATGGCCTCTGAGGGGAAGTTCCAGGCGTGTCCATGTGGGGGAGGCCGGAGGGAACAGGTATGTTTGGGGACTCAAAGAGAAAGCCCAGCGCCCACCTCCTCAGGGGTCTCCCCTGACCCCACCGCCGCCCTCCAGCTTTCGGCAGCTCCACTTGTCCTTTACTCTGGCGGGCCAGCCCTCTCCTCTGCAGCTCCATTTTGAGAGATGTGCTTGGGAGCCATTCACCTTGAACCCGTAGACTTTGCTTAGGGGTTAGAGACCCCTGTTCTCAGTCTTTGGGGCTCCTGTGTCTGTGCCCGCCTCTCCGACGCTGCTGCAGGCCGAGTTTGGCGTTGTGGATGACATCTGTCACTTGTGACAGCTGGGCTGCCTCCTTTAGTGATAGAGGCTGCTCCCAGCCCTCACCCATTTGGCCCAGAGCCTTACACTGGGTGGGGTGAGGGCGGGTGTAAGAGGCCCCTTGAGAGAATGGCATTGCCGCTGCGCGGGCCTGGCAGGAGAAGTTGTTTCTGATAGGAGGTTCGCAGAGGCCTCAGCTATCTACCTTGGTGACTAAAGACGCCTCAGGAAACCTTAGAGTTGGCCAAGAGGGATGCCTGGACCGTTTTTGGAGATGAGGCTGTTCCCTCCGCAGCTACCGGATTGTGTCTCTTTTCTCCAGAGTTGGGCTCTGTTTGCCTTAAATCGCATGGAACACCCCAGCCCGCTCCTTCCTGTCCTCAGCTGGAGCAGTGACATTTTCTCTGTCCATGTAGCTCTTGTCTGCAGTTTGGTTGGCCTCTTACTGTGTCCAGAGGAGGGGAGGGGAGATTGGCAAGGGTGTCTGTGATGGGTCTTTCTAGATATGATGTCGTAGGTCCAGATGAATAGAGAGAGGGTTGCTGGAGAGACTGAGCAGGAAGGCGGGTGCTTTTTTAGGCATGAGCACAGAGTAAGGTACCAGAACCAGAAGGGTACTTTTTCTTGGCCTGTCCAGCATGTGTGGGTTCGTGCCCTTTCCTTCAGGCCCAGGGCTTAGGGCCCACTCAGTTCCCAGGGGACCCTTCAGGCTCCACTGCCATCGAGAAGACTCAGCTATTTCTTAACGCTTTGTCCTGCTAGGCTCTCAGGTCATGTGCAGCTGTGGAGCCATGGAGGGTATTAGGGTGGGAAGTGCTTCAGAGCTATGCAATTAATGCACTTAACACCAATTAGATAAAGGAGACTTTTGACTTGTTGTTACGTTCTTACTTGGTGTCTCTGGGACTCAGGTGTGTGAGGGACAGAGAGGAATTGGGAATTAACCCTGGATTTTGTCCCCTGGTGCACAGCAAGGGCTGTAGAAGGACTGACCAGGTGGAAACCGTGATGTCCCCTGCTCACGTCTTCGGCAGTGGGGGAACTGGACTGGACTAGGTCTGACTTCTCACCCTTCCCCCCAACCCCCATAATAAATGTAAGAGCTCTGAACTCCTGAGATGAAAGTCTCTGGAAATACGCATATAATAAGTAGGGTATATATTGTCATTATGTTTGTGTTGGGTGGACTTTCAGATATGAGACATTTGTTGGGGAACAGGGAGGTCACAACAGGTAGGCAGGTGGGCAAGGTTAACAATAGGAAGGGTCTTTTTTTTTCACCAGAAAATCCCGGCCTGTCTTAATTTGCCTATATCTGCCTCAGAATCTGGGATTTGTGGGTTTCATGTTCATATCTCTCTGATTCTGTCTTTCTTGGGATGATGTATAATATCTTTGTGTTTTACCTCTTCTTCCCTTTTTCCAGTGAAGGGAGGAAAGAGGAAATCTAATTTCAGATCCTAGAGGATTTGAAAGGTCTTTGGAATTCCTCCCCATCCCTAAAAAACTCATAATCTCTGGGACTTTCTAGAGGAAAGGATCTGTTTTCTTTTGCCTGTGATTTGCATCTGCCAGGGCCTCTCTGGACTCGGGGGCAAGGTCGAGTCACCGTGAGGACTTTGGTTTTGCCTGGTTGCGGTTTCGGCCATGCCAGTGAATTGAGCATTAGTCTGAGACCAGTGCGTGTTTGGCCCTGTGGCCTGTGGTGTGACCACAGAAGGTCACTTACAGATGTGGTGGCAGGTGATTTAATGTGCATTTCCTGTCTTGCATCTCTGGAAACCTCGTCCCTCTCCACCCAGGAAGGAGGTGGCCCGAAGAAGCCTCTCCCTAACCCTGACCTCACAGAAATGCAGGGTAGGCCATTGTAAGATTTTTGGCTTTTGTTACCAATGAAACGGGCATCCCTCTGGCTGCTGTGTATAGAATAGACATGAGACGGACAGGGTGGAAGTAGGAAGATAAGTATTATTTTATTAAAACCCTTGAAAAAAAAAAAACCTGTGAAATAGATCCTGTTATACCCATCTTGCAGAGTGAAAAATGTACCCCAAATCACACGGCTTATGAGTACTGGATTCAGGATTCAAACCCAGGCATTGAACATCAGAGTCTATACTCTTTTTTTTTTTTAATTTTTATTAGAGTACAGCTGATTTACAGTGTTGTGTTAGTTTCAGATGTACAGCAAAGTGAATCAGTTATACATATACGTATATCCACTCTTTTTTTTTTTTTTAGATTCCTCTCCCATATAGGCTGTTACAGAGTATTGAGTAGAGTTCCCTGTGCTATACAGCAGGTTCTTATTAGTTATCTGTTTTATATATAGTAGTGTGTATATGTCAGTCCCAATCTCCCAACTTATCCCTCCCCCCACATCCCCTGGTAACCATAAGTTTGTTTTCTATATCCATGACAGGGCCTGTATACTCTTAACTACTACCCAAGGCAGGTCTGTGCCCCGGGTACTCTTTTGTTTCTCTCCCATCTTGCATTGCCTTCTGGGCCTCTTTCCCTAGAAGTGGGTTCTGTGGAAAGAACTCCAGACAGGGAGTCAGGATTCCTAGGTTCAGGCCTGAACTCTGCCACTGCCTAGCATCTGACCTTTAGCAAGCCGCCTCTCTGAGCTTTTCTTTATCTAGAAAACAAAGGCTGACAATAATAGCAGCAACGATAAGAGCTGACTGTATGGTACATGGATTATTCCATTTAATCTAAACGACAGCCTGGCTTTACAGATGAGAGTGAGGCTAAGAGATGTTAAGTAACTTGAAACTCGAGGAGCCAGAATTTGAACCCAGGCCTGCTGTATCCATCAGATGCTTTTTGGGTTCCTAACACAGTGGGCTCCAACAGTATCCTGAGACCCTTGGCTCTCGAAGGAAGCTTTTGGACTTGTGGGGACTCATTTCATTTGTACGGTGCTTTAACATGATGCGTTAGTAAGGATTCTTAGTGGTAAGTGGCAGAAACCCAGTTGAACCAGCTTTAAGCCAAAAAACAAAAATGTTTATTGGCTCATGTAGTGGGAAGTCCAGTGGGAAATGGCTTCAGGCAAGGCTGGATCCAGGTGCTTCAGTGATGTCTGTGTGTGTGAGTGTGTGTATGTTTCCTCTATGTCAACTTCTTTCTCAACAGTCTCTCCCATGTTGTGGCAAAGATGAGCATTGGCAGCCTCAGGCTGATATCTACCAGTTCAGCAAACCTCAGAAACAGAGCATCTTCTCTCCTGTAATTCTGGCAGGAGTCCCAGGGCTAACTCTCATTGGCCCGACTTGGGTCATGTGATTATCCCTTACTTAACCAGACCCTGTGGCACTAATTGGCTGGGTCTTGGTTAACATGTCTCCCCTGGAGCCCAGGACTGGGATAAGTGCTGTTCAAACCACGTGAAATAAGAGTGGTGGAGGGGTGGTCCCATGAAGGAAAATCAAAATACTGGTAGTAAAAAAAAAAAAAAAAACAGAGAAGGATGCTGGACAGGTATCTTTTTAGGAGTAATAGAAACAGTCTATATCTGTGCCTCACAAACTGTGTTAAGGCACCTCCAAGGAGCTGCAGCAAGCTCACAGGGGGACTGTGGGATAATTTAAATTTTCAAGGGAAACACAATATCTGTCATTAAAAAGAATGTTTCACACATCTTTTTTTTTTTTTTTCGGTATGCGGGCCTCTCACCTGTCGTGGCCTCTCCCGTTGTGGAGCGCAGGCTCAGCGGCCATGGCTTATGGGCCTAGCCGCTCCGCGGCACGTGGGATCTTCCCGGACCAGGGCACGAACCCGTGTCCCCTGCATCGGCAGGCGGACTCTCAACCACTGCACCACCAGGGAAGCCCCACACATCTTTTTAATGATGTCATATCTTTGTGAAGTTGGGTTTTGGGGGCTGATTAAAATCAAATACTATGTGAAAATCAATTTAGAACAAGAAATGAGGATGACAGTGTCCAATCTATTCCCAAGGTTTGAGATTTTGTGCAGAGCCCGACAGGCACACACATCCGTAAATAATTTTGGTTACTTCTGAATGAAATAAAAATACTTTTGTCAATTTCTGTGTATTCTTTTTTCCCCAAGAGGCTACTAAGTTGGTAGGACATAAATACTTTTCAATTATTTGGCTTAAGGACTCTGTGAAAAGTTTACTGAGACGCTAAGGGTGTGGTGAACCAACAAAGTTTGGGAACCTTTGTTTTATGTCCTGATTGTGGTGGTGGTTACACAACTATATGTATTTGCCAAAATTCGTTATGTATACCTGAAAATTGGTGAATTCGTATGTAAATTCTACCTGTAAAGCTGATTTTCAAAAACCAGTACATGCCTGTTAACATATAGCTCATCCCCTAGCTCTTCCACAACTGAGGAAACTTAAGAAGTGG